CTAACAATATTGATGATAAATAAAAAAATAAATTATTTATTTTCGGTTTTTCTTTTTGAAAAAACAAATTTCAAAAAAATCATAGCATGAGTAAAAATAAAAAATTAAATACCATTTCGATGGGTAGTGATAAAGGTTGATGTGCATGAATTAATTGATCAATTACCGGCATTAATATTCCGATTATAAGAAGCGATGTCAGGCTTATTTTGCCAATTAAAATGATGGGCAAAATTATTCCAAATTCAATCTTTTCCACGTCGGGTATCAATCAAAAAAAAGGAATATGAAAAAAATTCAGCAACATACTACATGCGCAAATGAAGGCAATAATGAGAGCTTTTCTAATTTTTAATCCTATTTTTGTATGAATACAGCAAATTTTTAATTTGTATTTTTCTTTTTCATTTATCATATTTTTTTGTTTGCTAAAATTTGAGAACATTGACGAAGTTACAAAAGTTTAATTTTTTTTTCTATTTTTCAAAATGGAATAAAGTTGTTAAAATATTATTATAGTGTTATTTAGAATGGTATGAAAAATAATAATTTTATTTTAGAGGCAATCATTGAAATTCCTAAAAACTCAAAGGTCAAATATGAGTTTGATAAAGAAAAAAATATTATTTTAGTGGATCGTTTTTTATACGGTACTCATGTTTATCCCGGTAACTATGGTTACATTGATAAAACACTAGAATTGGATGGGGATCCCATTGATATTGTGGTTGTGTCCAGTCACTCTGTTTTTCCCGGAACTCATATGAAAGTAAAAGTCATCGGAGCTGTTAAAATGATTGACGATGGAAAATCCGATAATAAATTAATCGCCATTTTTGTAGGAGACCCACAATATAAAGATATTAATCATTATTCTGAATTTACAGGCAATCTTTGCGAAAAAATAGTGGATTTTTTTCAAAATTATAAAAATCTCGAAAAAAAAACAACGATCATCGAAGGGTGAATTTCTCCGCAAGAGGCAATTGAATTAGTGAATAAAGCAAAAAAAAGATGATTAAATAAAAAAAGTTAATTAATCTTTTTTGTTAAAATTATCGGCACAATAATCGGATTAATTTTTTTTTGTTGATAAATTATATTTCCTAATTTTTCCTGTACCATCAAACTTATTTGTTCATAATTAAATTGATTTTTTTTCAGAAACATTTCAATATCGGTCGTCAATTGGTTTAGTTTAGATTGGTTTAAGTTAATTTCTTTACTGGCGACAAAACTACCCCGAGCGGTTACGACGGGGTTTTCGATGATTTTATTTTCAATAAGATTGATTCTCAATAAAATTCCCACTATTCCATTACGAAGCATAATTTGTCGTTCCTGTAAAATTTGCATGCTGTCTTCGTTTTGATTTTTACCTATGTATATCGGAGAAACATTCATCTTTTTACCAATTCAAGCTTTTTTATTTTTTAAGAAAATTTGATCTCCATTTTTACAAATAAAAATGTTTTTTTGTTTAATGCCGATGCTTTTAGCTGTTTCTCCATGAATTTTTAACATTCGATATTCTCCGTGCATTGGCATAAAATAATCAGGTTGCATCAAGGTAATCATCATTTTTTGCTCTTCTTGATTGGCATGTCCGCTTGTATGTAATTTTTTTCATAACGAACACACTTCTACTTGAATTTTATTTTTTCTTAATTTATTAATTAAATTTTCAACCTTATATTTATTTCCGGGAATTGGTCGAGAAGAAAAAATTAACAGATCATTTTCTCCCCCTTTTAAATATGGCTCTCGATTATCAGCGATTTTTGAGATAATTGATCTTCCTTCTCCCTGTGAACCCGTACAAATAACGATTAATTTTTCCGGTTTGATTGATTTAATATTTTCCTTTGAGATAAACATTTCATCTTTAATATTTAAGTATTTTCTTTTTTTTACAATTTCAATTATATTCTCAATCGCTTTTCCTAAAACAGCTATTTTTCTATCAATTTTTTTTGCAATCATAATAATTTCATAAATTCGATCAACATTAGAAGCAAAGGTTGTAAAGAGAATTCTTTTTTTAGTGTTTAAAAATAAATTGTAAATATTTTTCATAATCTTTTTTTCCGTGAGTGTGTAACCTTGAATTTCCGAATTTGTGGAATCAGACATCAAAATAGAAACACCCTCATTTGCAATTTTTGCAATTTTTGAAAAACCAACTTTATTTCGCAATGGAGTTAAATCCAATTTGAAATCTCCGGTTGTTACGATGTTTCCGTCAATAGTTTTTACACAAATTCCAAAAGAATTCGGAATAGAATGAGTTACTTGAAAAAAAGAAATTTTAAAATTTTTGAATTTTATTTTGGTATTTTGATCATATTCGATAATTTTTACTCGATTGATTAAATTATGTTTTTCCAATTTTAATTTAATTAAATCACTTGCGAGTTGAGGAGCATAAATAACAGGTAATTTAATTTTTTTAAGCAAATATGGAATTCCCCCGATATGATCCTCATGCCCATGAGTAATAAAAAGAGCTTTTATTTTAGTTTCATTTTTTACCAAGTATTCATAATCTGGAATAATTAAATTAACTCCCAATAAAGATTGATCGGGAAATTTAATTCCTGCATCAATAATAATGATTTCATTATTTTTTTCTATACAATAAGTGTTTTTTCCGACTTCCTCCAAACCACCTAATGCGAACAATTTAGTAACATTTTGATGATTTTTCAATTTAGTCTGCATATTTTATAAAAAAGTTTCAATTATTAAATATCAAAAAATAAAATTTCAATTTTTTATTATTGATCGTAACGGGATTAAAATAAACTCTTTTTTCATTATATTCATTATTTTAAAAATAAATTAAAATAAAGTTAACAAGAAAAAAATTTTTACTCTGGTAAATAAAAATTTTAGCATAGTTAATAAGATTGAAAGATTTTTTATTTATTTCGAAAGATAAAATAACAAATTATGAGAATTATTGCGGGCAAATATAAATTCCATCAAATTCGTTTAGACAAAAAAGAAAAATTTAGACCAGTTTCGAGTTTTATTCGCGAAAATATTTTTAATGTTTTAAATTCTTTATTCAATTGACAAACTGTTGTTTCCGCGGATATTTTCGCGGGCTCGGGTAGTTTGGGATTAGAAGCATTATCGCGAAATGTAAAATTTAATTTTTTTAATGATTTGAGCAAATACAACACAATTCGTATTCAAGATAACTGTAAAAAACTAGAAATTTCCAATGCAGAAATTTCAAATCTTTCCTATCGCCAATTTTTACTTCAATTAGAACAACAAAAACAAAAACTTGACCTAGTTTTTATTGATCCTCCGTATTCTGAACCGGAATTGATTGAAAGAACAATAAATATTTTATTTAATAGTGATTTGCTCAAGGAAAATGCAATTTTAGTTATTGTTAGTTCAATTTTAAAAAATTATGCTGGTACTAACTTATCTTTTTTAAAAATGAAAAAATATTCAACGAACTATGTTTATTTTTTTCAAAAAAATTCGCCGCAATATAAAATTCCTCCGCTATATAAAAATCGTAATTTTTTAATTCTTTCCGGTCCGAGTGGAGTAGGAAAATCTAATATTATGGAAAAATTATTAAAAAACAAAGAATTAAATTTAAGTTTTTCTGTTTCTGCTTGTACGAGAAAAATTCGAAAAAAAGAAAAAAATTATGAAAATTATATTTTCTTATCTCGAAAACAATTTGTTAAAAAAATTGAAAAGAACGAATTTATTGAATTTACTAAATATGTAAACGATTTTTACGGAACTTTATGACCGGAAACGCTAAAAATTTTATCTAAAGGAAAAAATCCCTTATTTGAAATCGAATTACAAGGAGCGGAAGTTATCAAAAGCAAAATTCCCCAAGCAATTTGAATTTTTATCACTCCGCCATCAATAATTGAACTGAAAAAAAGATTAAAAAAAAGATCTTCCGAAAAAACCATTGAAATTAATCAAAGAATTTTAAAATCAAAAAAACAAATGAAATATATGGAAAATCATGCTCAATGCGATTTGGTGTTGATTAATGATAAAACAGAAAATACAGTTAAAAAAATTACTCTTTTTTTAAAAAATAAAAAATTTCATTAATATTAAGGTCATTATGCATTTTCACGTTTTAGCTCAAAGTACTCAAAATATTGCTCACAAACCAAATCAAGATTATTATGTATATGCAAAGAATGAATATGGGCAAAGTTTATTTGCGATTGCCGATGGAGTCGGCAGTTATTCAGACTCGGCCAAAATTTCTAAACTTTGTTGTTTATTTTTAAAGCAAAAATTTTTGACAACAAATTTTTCTGGTTGAAATGATCAAACTTTTTTGAATTGAGGAAATAAATTAATTCAACAAGATTTGCAATATGAAATAAAAAAAATTGTAAATAAAGTTTCAACTACTTTGTCTTTTCTCATAGTAACATTACAAAAAATTTATATTTTTCACGTTGGTAATACGCGTATTTATCAGAAAAAAACAAATTCCGACACTCTATATCAATTAACACATGACGAAGAAAATAAAAATCTTAAAGATAATTTTTTTTTCAAAAAACATCATAAAATGCTTGACAATTCGATTAGTAATTTTAGAAATACAACCTTACAATTTTCTTCTCTTTCTCTTTTTGAAGGTTTTTTGTTTTTTTGTACCGATGGATTGCATAGTTTTGTTGCTCTTTCCGAAATGGAGACAATTTTTAATAATAAAAAAAATTCTCCCAAAGAAATTGTACAATATTTAACAAATCAAGCACTTTATAGCGGTTCAATTGATGATATTACTTTATTATTAGTTAAAATAAGCAAAATTTAATATGAACATTAACATTGGCAAAATTTTAAAACAAAGATATGAAATTTTACAAAAAGTCTCCACCGGAGCAACGGCCCAAGTTTATTTAAGTCGTGATTTAAAATTAAAACGTAATGTTATTTTAAAAATATTTAACGAAGAAATTTTCTGAAATAAAAAAGTAGAAGATATTTTTATTAATGAATTAAAAATTACCAGTCAATTAAAACACAATAACATTGTCAAACTATTTGATTATTTTATTTTTAATGATAAATGATGTTTGGTATTGGAATATGCCGAAGGTAATACACTAAGATTGCTATTAAACAATAAAGAAATATTTAGTGAAGAACGAGTTCGTCATATTTTTTTACAAGTTATGGAAGCACTGAGTTTCGCTTGAAATAAAAACATTATTCATCGGGATTTAAAACCAGAAAATATCATTATTGATAATACTGACCATGTAAAAATTTTAGATTTTGGAATTTCGATTGATCGTTTTTTTTTAAAAGATATTTTTAAATCCGGTATTGTGGGAAGTATTAAATACTTAGCCCCTGAATTAATAGCTAAACAGGAAACAACTAATAAAACCGATATTTATGCGATGGGTCTCATTATGTACGAATTGCTTGCCGGCCATTTACCCTTTCAGTCATCCGACGACAGAGTTATTATTCAACAACACTTATACGAAAAAATTGTTCCAATTCGTCAGTATAATCCTACTATTAGTCAAATTATGGAAAACATTATTATTCGTGCTACGGCAAAAAATACCGATGAAAGATATCAAAAAGCATCGGAAATTATTAAAGATTTGAAAAAAACAAGAAATTTTAAGAACGAAAAACGTCTTACTCTTCAAAATGATACTTATGTAGGAGCAATTAATATTGATTTAAAATTACCTAAAAAAACAGATAAATATTATACTTTTTGATTAAATAAAAAATTTTTATTTTTATCCATCGCTATCGGAATGGTTTTTATTTTTATTATTATTATTTTGGTTATTTTGCGAGTTTGAGCCTAGATTTCGAGTCAAAATTTCACATCCATTTCGAGTAACTAAAATTACATCTTCAACTCGTACACCACCCACATCTTTATCGTAAATTCCTGGTTCAATAGTAATTACCATTCCAGGTTTAAGAGTACCCGTCGATAAAGAATGAATATTGGGTGATTCATGCACTTTAATTCCAATTCCATGCCCTAAAGAATGAGCTTGAGTTATTTTTTTTGTTTCATAAAATTTATTCGCTATTTGTGCAAGTTCGGAAATTTTAACTTCGGGTTTTATTTTCGAAATAATTAAGAGTTGTAATTCTTGAACTCAGGTTCAAAATTTTTGAATTTTTGACTTTTTATTAAATATTAAAACTCGAGTAAAATCAGAACAATAATTATTTCATTTTCCACCAAAATCGCATAACAAATGGTTTTTAATTCGATGATTTTTGGCATATGTATGAATATAAAAGGAATTTTTATCGCTGCTTACGATGGGTTTAAAACTCATTTCACGAACACCAAATAATAAAAAAGTTTGATAAATTAATTGTTCCGCTTGAATTTCAGTTCAGTTTGGCTTTACTTTTTTTTCAACTATTTTTCAAACTTGCTCTGTTATTAAACAAATTTTTCGAATATTTTCGATTTCCCTTGAATTTTTAATAATTCTTAAATTATTCGTCGGAGTTAAAATTAGTTCTAATTTTGAGTTTAGTTTTTTTAATTGGTTTGCTTGAACTCAACTAATAGTTTCTTCACAACCAATTCGTCCCCTTAACTCTTGCCAACGTTTTGGAAAATCATTCAAATTTTTTATTTGATGTTTTTGAATATGTTTTTTTCCTTCATGCAAATAACGATTATCTAAATATATTTCCCCGATCTCTGAATTTTTTTTGATTAAAACAAAACCCAAACTACTTTCAAATCCGGAATATCAAAAACGATTTGTTTTAGATATTAACAAGAGAAATTCAATTTTATTTTTATTTCAAAATTCTTTTTTAATCATTTTCTTTATCTTGATTTCATTCTAAATCTAATTTTTTAATAATTTTTGTATTTTTGTATCATTTAGGTTCAACTTTTACAAAAAGCGATAAAATCACTTTTTTTTGTTTTATAAAACTTATTTTTTTTTCACTTTGACTTTGTATTTGATGAATTTTTTTTCCCTGTTTGCCAATTAAAATTATTTTTTGAGAGTTAGTTGAAACCAACAAATGAAAGGAAACACGAATCAGATTTTTGTGTTCTTTGAAATGAATTAATTCCAAAGCGGTTTGATATGGTATTTCATCATTTGTGTGATTCATAATTTGTTCTCGAATTAGTTCACGTATTATTTGAGCATCATTGGAAACCAACAGTTTTTGATTTTTCTTTTTATTTAAATCTAAAATTTGAGTTTTGGTTGCTTGAATTAGATTATAAAAATTATGTTTTTTTGTCGCTGAAATTGGAACTATTGTGATTAAATTTGTTTTTTCCTTTCATTTTTCTATTTTCTGTAGAATTTTAATTTTATTTGCTTTATCTGTTTTATTAATCACTAAAATAGTTGGTTTTGATTCTTTTTTTATTAAATCTGAGAGAATTTGCATATCTTTTCCTCAAAATTCATCAATATCAATCACAAATCAAATCAGATCACTTTCCATTAACACTTTTTTTAAATTTAAAAACATAATTTTATCCAGAAGATTTTTTGGAATACATAATCCCGGAGTATCAAATAGAATTCAATATTGTTCGTTTTCTTTTCAAATTCCGGATTGGGGTATTTGAGTTGTATGAATTTTTTTACTAACTGCTGCAACCATTTGATTAGTAAAATTGTTTAATAATGTTGATTTCCCGGCATTTGTTCTTCCGATGAGGGCAATTTTAATCATTTTTTTTCATTTGTTTGTTTTTTTTATTCTAATTAAAAATGAAAAATAATTTTTAATAAATTTAATAAAATTGTTTCTTGACCAATATTTAAATATCAAATTTCATTATGTCGAAAACAATCTAAATTGTTTGCATCGACAATTTCTATCAAGTTATCATCAATTATTTGTAAATTATTTTTATGAATATTTTCAATAATAGCATTTTCAACACTTTTTATTTCTAATAAATTATTTTTTAAATATTGAGCTTTTATTTTTTTGGATTTTCAAGTGAGAAAAAATCGACATTCAATTTTTTTTTGATTTGATATCAGTTCCGTTTCTTGAGCTTTTAAAACGACAACGACATTTACAGGAATTTTTATGTATCCTAATCCGGTAAGACTGAGAATAAAAACAAGACAACCAATAAAAGTTAAAAATAAACAATATTTTTTAAGTTTCATAAGAAATTAAAGTTTTATTCGCTTTAAATAAAGGAATAAGATCTTGATTGTGAGTAGCATAAATAAGTAATTTTTCTTTTTTTGTTTGTGCAAGAAAAAAAGTCAATAATTTTTTGCGAATGTCGGGAACAAGAGAATTTAATCCCTCATCAAGCAATATAATAGGACAGTTTACAAAAAAAGTAGATAAAAATAAAATTAGTTGTTTTTGCCCCTTACTTAAGTCCGTTTCTTTTACAATGATATTTGATTCAAGTCCTACTAAATTTAATCATTTTTCAATTTGATATTTTTTTCATAACTCTTTTATATGATCTATTTTTTGAAAATTTAAGATATTTTCCAACACGGTTCCTTCAAACAAAATCGATTCACTTGTTAAAAAATAAACTTTTTTATTTCACTCAATTGATTCTAATTCATTGAGTTTTTTATTTTCAATTTTAATTACTCCGCGAGTAGGCACTAATTCTTTTGCGATTAAACGTAAAAAAGTAGATTTGCCCGATCCGTTTTTACCATTTATAATAATTGAATTTTGAATTCGAAAATTTAAATTATTTTTTCAAAGTTGATCTATTTCGTTATAGCTAAAATTTAATTTTTCAATTTCAAATTTTATTAAAGAAGAATTGATAGAATTAAAATTTATTTTTCGTTGAATTTGAGAAATGATTTTAGTTTCTAAAAAAAATTCTTGAATTTTAGTTTTTAATTTTTTTATTCAATCGTAATGAACAAAATAATCAAATAATGAACATATTCTCTTGATTACATTATTGATTAATCCGTAAACGAAAACAAAACTTCCCGGAGACAAACTATCTTCCTCATTTAAATTAATTAAAAAATAAATTATTAGTAACTGACAGGAAAAATGAATTAATTTTTGAGTGGAAGTTTTAATAAGTTGAAAATTTTCGTATTTAATAATTGTTTTTTCGTTTTTTCGATATTGATGAAATAATTGACTTTCCATTAAATATTTTAAGTTTCTTCTTTTTCTATCAATTTGATTTTCAACACTGTGAACAAATGTTTGAACAAACTTTTCTCCGTTTTGAATTTTTTCATTTTCTAATTTACTTTTTCAGGGAAAACTGATAATTTCCGAAAAAATCAGCAACGAAATAAAAGGTATACAAACAACAATTGATATTCCGTTAATAAAACATAAAATGGTCAAAGATCCTAAAAGAATTAATATGTTTTCCAAAAAGTAAAATAAATACGGAAAATAAAAACTCAAAACTTCATTTAATTTTTGATATTTTTCAATTAAATGACCGGTTTGATATTTTTTTCTTTTAATATAGGGAAGGTCAATGATTTTAGAAAAAAATTTTGTATTTCATCATTTTTTATGTTGAGTTTCAATTTTTAATTGTATTTTTTTCAAAATAATAGAAAGTAAAATTTTTGTTAAAAATAATAACCCAAAACCAATAATTCAAAGTATTACTTTATCATTGATTTTTTTCACCAAAAATTCATCTAAAATTATTTTCACCAAAAATTGAGTAAGAATAGTGGCCCCACTACATAACAAACTTATAAATGTTGTTAATAAAATAGTTTCTCCAATTCCGCGCAAATAGAAGAGATTTTGAATTTTTTGTTTATTTTGAATTTTTGTTAAAGTTTGCTCACTTGTTAGTACAATTCCTGTATAAATTTTTGCTAATTTTTCTTTACTTATTCAGAGGGGTTTTTTTAAACGCGGATCCGCAATTAAATATTTATTTCAAAATTTTTTATAAATAACAATAAAGTGAGTTTGTTGTTCGTGTTGCACCTGACAAATTAACGGTTTTTTAATTTTGGCAATACTGAAATCAGCTCATTTCGCAAAATAAGAGACTAACAATACTCCTCTATCGTTCGCAAATTTTTTCATTTGCAATATATTTAAATCATTATAAAAAGAAGTCTTGTTAATTAAGTAGGCATAGTTATATTTTTTTCCATGATAATAACTGGCAAGCATAGCGATACAGGCCAGCGAACAATCTCATGTATAAATTTGTGCATAAAATGGATACCCCACAAGTAAAAGTTAAAAAATTTTTTTGAAAATTCTTTTTTTTAAAAAAAGAAATTAAAATAAATAATAATCATGATTAACAATGTAAAAAAACCTCAACTGGGAAGTTTTGTTCGTTTAACTGCTCCAAATTATTTAACCGGTGCCGTTGAAGAAGCGAATAGTTATGGCGGTCGTTCTTTAATGTTTTTTCTTGGTTCTCCCCAATTGTTTCGTGTAATAGATAAAAAAAAATTAAATATTCAAGCATTTCATGCAACTTTAAAAAAATATAAAATTAATATTCAGAATGTTTTTATTCATGCCTCTTATTTAATTAATTTAGCAAATTTTAAAAATCAAAAAGTTTTAGACGGATCGATTTTTTTATTAGAAAAAACTTGTGAAATTGCTAATTTTATTGGTGTCCAAAAAATAGTTCTTCATCCGGGTGCGGCTTTAAAAAATGACCGTCAGTTATCAATGTTGTCGGTGTCAAAATCATTAGATAAAATTTTAAAAAATTATTCTAAAATTCATATTTGTTTAGAAACAATGTCGGGAAAAGGTAGCGAAATTGGTAAAACTTTTGAAGAATTAAACTACATTATTCAAAACACCAAAAGAGGAAAGCAATTAAAAGTATGTTTTGATTTGTGTCATTTGTATGCGGCCGGCTATGATATCGTGAACAAATTCGAAAATATATTGAGCTGTTTTGACAAAAAAATTGGCTTACAAAAATTAGTTGCCCTTCATATAAATGATTCT